GATAAGTTCATCACGAGGGCACAGAAGGGAATTGGTGAGGTTTTATTCACCAAGGCGCCCTCGGTGGTTACAAGAAATAATGGCCACAAGCTAGCAGAGAGCAGATTTAGACTAGACATTAGGAAGAACTTCTTCACAGTTAGAGTGGCCAAGGTCTGGAATGGGCTCCCAAGGGAGGTGGTGCTCTCCCCTACCCTGGGGGTCTTCAAGAGGAGGTTAGATAGGCATCTAGCTGGGGTCATCTAAACCCAGCACACTTTCCTGCCTATGCAGGGGGTCGGACTCGATGATCTATTGAGGTCCCTTCCGACCCTAACATCTATGAATCTATGAATGTGCATTTGATCCAGGACCAGTTTACTGGTCCTAGACAGGCATCTACACATGCAGGGATGTGGCAGCAGATTTGGTGCTCTTAGCAGCAAACTGTTCCCACTTCCTACAGCCTGCAATGGGCTCCTGCTGCCACCAGAGGGAGCTCCAGGCTCTGGATGGGCTGCCAGCAGTTGGCAGCCACCTTTTCAAGGCAGCCCTGCTCTCTGCTCCCTGGCCAGCTGCTTTTCTGGCCAGGAGCAGTGCACAGAGGCCAGGGCCAGCACACAGTGGTCCTCTTGCAATGGCTCTCCAGTGGTCCTCTGCGCCATGGCTGCTCCAGCCCCTGCCTCTGGAAATGATGCTGAGTACCCCAGGCTTCTGCTGACCAAGGTGCTGGCCCTGCTGGCCCCCACTACCGAGGTCGCAGGCGAGTTGCACACCTATCACTGGGGGCCAGGGCACCAGATGCAAGAGGCACTAGCCGACAACCTCCTCCTGCATTCCCCACTGTAGCCCGCTTGGACAGCCGCCCCCAGAACCGCCCCCACCACCCACCCCCAGCACCACGCTCACTGCAGACGGTTCTCTGCAAAACACTCCACTGCCCTCACAACAAGCTATTGAGGTCCCTTCTGACCCTAGCATCTATGAATCTATGAAACAAGGATTCGGAGATTCGACCACCGAATTGAGCCAAATCTTCTCCAAATCAAATCACCACCTGAAGCTTTGCACAGCCCTACTAACCAGCTCCCCACTTGGAATGAGTGAGTGACTGCAGCTTGGGCTGGCACGTTCATACAAACTATAACTTAGCTGGTCTGGGTAACAACAGCAGTAAAGAAGTAGTGGCATCGGCTTCCATGCAGGCTGATGACCTGAGAACCTATTGAGAGATTCTTGTGGCCTGAGAGATGTATCCTCAGTGGGCCACAATCTGTCCCCTGGCTCAGCAAGTTATGCACATGGCAGAAGTCACTGCTGATTGCAGATTTGGAGAAATCTGACATAGCCCATGCTCCATGAATCTAGCAGGGCCCAGAATTATATTTGAGAGCTAATCATTTTTGCCAGAGCTATTTGCTGCTCTCCTATGCTCCATAATAGACACAGCCCATGGGCACTGCCAGGAAAGTATTTCCTGTAGGCTTTTGAAAATCATGGGTTGTAAGAACCTTGAAAAGGAGGAAATACACAGGGGGTATGTCTACATGAGATGTTTACTGCGGGGTAGAGTAATTAACTCTGCAGTAAACATCTTAGCATCTACATGTGCTGAACTATTAGATTGGAGTTAACTAATAAACTATTTTGCTGGAGAGTTTTTAATCCACAGCAGCGGACATGTAGATGTTGACCTAGCTGGCTGATGCACAAGGATGCCCACAGCATGTACAGCTCGGTTCCCTGCCAGCCGGGGCTGCTCCGACCTGGCTCAACATGCTGCAGTTCAAGTGACAATCCCAAGAGCAATAAATTCTGGGAGTTTATTGCTTCAAATTAATTGTACATGTAGATGTGCCCAGGCTGTTTAACTCAGTGGAGAAAGGTGCAACAAAAACCAATGGCTGAACGTTAAAGACAGACAAAATCAAATTAGAAATGAGGCATATTTGTAACTGGGAGGGTGATCCAGCACTGGAACAAGCTGCTGAGGGAAGTGATGAATTCCCCATCTCAAAGCAATACTGGCAGCTGTTCTGGGAAATACTGTGGTCAGTCATAAGGTATTGGGTTCAATATGAGGCCATTGAAAGAAATCCAGTGACTAGCAAGTCAGACTAGGAGGACTGAACAACCTCAGCACCTATGAACTTGTGTTTCTTTCCTGCTTCTAGTGGGGCTCTTCAAAAATAACTCATAGAGGTTCAGTACACATTTTAATTAATTCCCTATTATCAAAAGAATGTTCTTTGCACATGGCTCTTGTCAGTCAAAGGTATTGCTGTTTGGCAACAACTGTTAAAACAAACTCTTAGTTACTTCCCATTTGTGGGACATCCTGTTGGGAGGAACTGTAACATCTCGGCAGTCATATGAGGTATTCATTTCATGTTTACAGTGGGAGATCTGACCATGAGACTGCCCCCGGCCACTTCCACCCCCTCTATGAGCCCACCCCACTTGGCACCGAGCAGGCCCTCTTTTATGGGAAGCTGTGTACTGGTGGACAGAGCACAGGCCAGGGACCTGGGAGATCAGGGTGCTTGCTATTCCTGGTCCCTGCTCTGAACCTCAGGTTCCCCCACTCTGTAAAATGGAGAAAACAATCCTGACCCTCTTTGTAGAGGTGAAAATGGATGACAAAGCATTACTTTTCTTTGCTATTGTTACTTAGAGGAAGTTGTCTTAAGAAAAGGATGGGGAGAGGTGAATGGAAAACTCTGGGAAAGGAAAGAGGAGAGGGAATGTCTTGGGAAGAGAACTTAAAAGATTAAGAGGGGAAAGTCTTCTGTGGAGAGATGAATCTGTGTTGGGCCCTGTAGCATTAGGAGTTTCATTTCAGGGAGGCTGAAGTCATATGATGTTCCCATTCAGTAAAGAAAAGAGGAGATTGGAGCTGGGCTGACAGGGTGGGGTCGGGTGTGGGGGGAGATCAGAGAAAGCCCGCCCAGAAAGGAAGAGAAGCAGTCAGAGAGAAACAGGCAGACTGAAGGACAGAAAAGCAGACAGACAGACAGAGACCAGTAGCTGAGGTAGGAAGCAGAGACACAGAAATTGAGAGGGGAAAGCATAGACAGACATAGAGGCTGGGGAAGGGGAGGGGGTGACAGACAGGGACCTGAAGGCAGACAGACAAGCAGAGAAACAAGGGGAGGCCTGTGTGGTGCTGAGGCAGGGTAATGCATGGCCCGGGACAGGGGCCAAGGGGAGCTCAAGCCCCTGTTGGGGCGGGAGGCATCGCTGGATGGGAGCCTCTGGTCTGCATTCAAGGGCCGGAAGGCAGCCTGCGCAGCTGTGCTGCTGGTGGAGATCCTAGAGAGGGCTGCATTCTTCGGCATCGTCTCCAACCTCGTCCTCTACCTCAACAGCAGCAACTTCAACTGGGGGGGTTTGCAGGCGTCACGGGCTGCCCTGCTTTTCCTTGGTGCCTCCTACCTGCTCTCGCCCATTGGCGGTTGGTTGGCCGATGTCTACCTGGGTCGCTACTGGACCATCATTCTCAGTTTCCTGCTCTACCTGGGGGCCGCCTGCCTGCTGCCTGTCACAGCCGTGAAGGATGGGCGCCTCTCACTCTGTGGGGAGATGTCGAGCTCCCACATTAATCCCTCCTGCAAGAACCACAGCGGGGATTGTCCTCAACAGACGCCCAGCCAGTACTGTGCACCCACAATATACATTGGCCTCCTGGTGCTAGCGCTGGGTGTCAGCTCCATCAAGGCCAACCTCACGCCCTTCGGTGCTGACCAGGTAAGAGGCCTTAGACTACAGATTCACCTTTTTCTTTTCTGCGCATGATGAGCATCCCAGCCACGCCTGGCCAGCAGAGCTCTGCTTGCATGATATGCTGGGTGATGCTAATCCCTGCCCCATATATCACAGCTTCAGAGAGCTTAGCCTAGGCAGCATGCACTTGCAATTAAAAACACAACCAGGTGCACACACACAAAGCATGGCCATGCACATGCACACATGCACACTTATGAATTACAGCCATGCATACACATAGCCATACACACACAAGCATGCACACAAGGCACAGCCATGCAACGCCGGCGCAAACACCCAGAAGTACAGGTTTACGTCTATAACTCACAAATGTGTAGGGGTGTGTGCAAGCACATACAGGACATGCTTACTGCTAGGTTGTCATGCTAACACACACACACACACACACACACACACACTTGTGAACACACAAATATGCATGCTTATACCCATGCATGTGTACTGGAGGGGGCTTTCCCTTGCTGCAGTGGAGGAGGAGACTCTTTCTCTCCTCCCAGGAGGCCATGGGTAAGAATTCCCCTCTCTTCCACTCTGAGTTTATGAAAAAGTGATGTGGGGGAAGGGTGTGATGGACATCATTTTTAGGAGGGTCACTTCTCCCACTAGGAGTGGTTAACAGTTGTGTCCCTGGCTTCAGGGGAGGAGTGGGGTCTAACTGAGAGAAGGGATCTTTCCTCTCTGGGTGGTGGCTCTTCCCAGCCTGTAAGAAGTTAATTCTACTCCCTTCCTCTGGACAAGAGCATCTGGGTCCCTTGGAGGGGCTGCCTCCCATCTCTCTAACCCCTGGCAGAGCCCTTGGCCCCCTCCCCCATAGACCCAAGGGACAAAGTTGTGACTACTCTGGGACATCATGGGTGGAGGCAGTGGAGGTGCTAAGAGATGGGAAAGTTCTTGGGGAAAGGACAAAGAGGCAGAGGGTTGGGATTGGTGTGAGAGGTGTGGAAGGGGGAGAGTTGGGTCATAAGGATGGGTGCAGGTAGGTTTGTTATGTGGATGGGGGAGGGAAGGGCATCAAGAATGGGGGAGGTGTGGATGAGGGTTGGGCTGGGGGAGGTATGGGTAAAGGATGAGGACAGGGAGGGGGGGAAAAGCCCTATATGTTGCTCAGATCTGGCCTCTGCAGGGGGTAAGCCCTGGGCCAAGGGACCAGGGTGTCTGGGTTGGGGCAGGGGTGGGAAACGGGACACTGACTGCGAGTAGTGAGGTGGTGCTTACTTCCCTTCCCCTATCATGCTTACCCTGCAGGTGACAGATCGCGGCCGGGAGGCTACACGGCGCTTCTTCAACTGGTTCTACTGGAGCATCAACATCGGAGCGGTGATCTCTTTGCTGGTTGTGGCCTTTGTCCAGCAAAATATCAGTTTTCTCATTGGCTATGCCATCCCTGCTTCCTGCGTGGCCCTTGCCCTCTTCATCTTCCTCCTGGCCTCTCCCACCTTTGTCACCAAGCCGCCCACAGGCAGCCAGGTCTCTGTCTTGCTCCAACTGGCCTGCCAGAGCAGCTGCTGCAGACGTGTCCCCCGGATCAGAGGCACTTGCACCAGGTCAGGAAGTGTCCCAACACTCACATCTCCGGTGTCAACCCATCTCCAGGCCTCCCCTTGCCATCATGTTCTTTCCCTTCTCTCCAGGGTGGGCTTCCACCGGCCACATGCAAAATCTGCGAGTTCTCTTGCTGGGGATAAACCACAGCCTGGGGCCTCTTCCTATGAAGAGGATGTTGCCAACTTCCAAGTAATGATGAAGCTCCTGCCGGTGCTACTGACCTTCATCCCTTACTGGATGGTTTACTTCCAGGTGTGTGAGCAACACTAGGCTGGCTGGTGCAAAAAAGGGCACTGGGAGTGCAACTGTGAAGTGGTCTGGAGGGAAGGGCTTGGGGTTAGCTGTCACATCCATTGAGATGTCCTCATAGAGGTTCAGATTCTAGATCTTGGTCCCAAATTCATGGTTCACACTGGCCTCTCACCAGAGATCCACCAGGACTGTGGTGCTAGCCTCTGACCAGCTGGCAGCACACTGGGAAGATACCCTCCTGGACAGCGTTATCAATAGGTCTTGCTTGGTTTTGGAGCTGGTTAAGTGGTGTCACTGGTACAGTAAACTATGTACGAATGCAGGGTTCAAACAGAGAGGTGGTGTAACAGGGTGGTCTGTCTCCTTAAGATGGGGCAGCCAGCCCAGCCCTGTTAAGGATGTTCAGCTGTGGGGCATTCTGCTAAAGAGGGAGTGTCCCAGTGGGAGCTTAAAACCCCAGAGAAGAGAGCTGCTTGCTGGGGAAAAGCCAGAGTGGCAAGTTGCTCTTCTCCTAATGTCCAGGAAGGGCAGAGGATTTGGGTTAGTTCTGTTTGTGTTGTTAAGAGACTGAAGTGTGTTTGGTGGGAATTGAACTGTATGAGGAATGAATAGCAGAGCTACCTAGCCCACAAACAGCAGCAGGATAAAGGATCTGCTTACAGTTAGTTAGGTGTGATAATCTGAAGTCAGGCAGAAGGCAGGGCAGAGTGGTGCCTAATGATGACTAGCAGATTCAGAGAGGCATGCGCTTTTTTACGACAGCCTACTTTGTCACATACTATTAATGGACTACTGGGTACTACTACTATGTTGTCCATTTGTAGCATCTGACAAAGTAGATTGTTGCCTACAAAAGTTCATGCCCCTCTGAAACCAGTTAGAACCAGGTAGGTCCAAATGCAGGGAATAGGCATGTGGAAAGACAATGCCACCTAAAGGAATTGTGGAAAGGCACTGGAGGTCTAGCAACAGTCCAGCTGCACAAAGCAGTGTTCATACTGCACAGTAGTTGTGTTAGCAGTGCAGTGGTAAAACTCTGGCCTTTCTGCCAACATGACTGAAAGACATCACCCCACTTAAGTGAGGGGGCTATGTCGGGGAAGAGCACTCAGGCTTGTGGGGGCAACTCTTGAGTTAGCTCTTAAAGTGAAGAAGAGGCCCTGGAAAAGTGATTCACAACTGGGGTACCACAGTACCCTGGGGTGCCACAAGATCCCTTTAAAGGTGCTGTGCTACACAATCCCTGTTAAAGGAGGTATGTGTTCTCCTTTCTATGCCTGCCCATGCTCTGTACCTGCCCAGCTACCCTAGTGGTGCCTGTAGCAGCTTCTCAAGGGGCTGCTGCCACTGCTGACCTCTCCTACTCCTCCTGAAAGCCCCTGTGCCACCAGACCCACCGCCATACTCCCAGCAGTGCACTTTGCTTCAGGTGGACAGGCAGACATAGGGCCAGAGCTGTGGTTTTCAGTGCAGCTCATCCTGTTTGCTCCTTCCATGCTTCTGGGGCTGTGAGGGCAGATGATCTGTACCTGATGGGTGCAAGGGACCAGAACTAAGGGCAGGGAGAGGGTAGACAGTTGAAAGAGCTGGGCATATCAGGGTTAGGTTCTGCCCCTGTTGCATTCACCTGGCACCAGTTAGATCAGTGGTTCTCAACCTTTTTAGCCACAAGGCCCACTCCATATCTTTTCTGAATTTAAATTCTAGCTTGGGGATTCTCAACAGGGGATTCTCAATAGGGGTTCTGTGAAAGTAAGAACATTTTTGGAAGCTAAAAAGGTAAACCAGTGATCTAGAAGGACACAGGGAAATTTGCTCAAACTTTCCAGGTATTTTCGGCACAGTGGAGACTCAATCATCAAGCTGTAATCATGATTTATAGTAATAATTGGCAATTGCTGAGTATTTTAATTCATAGTCATTCACATAATAAGAATTACAAGAAGAAATAATTAATAAATAGCAGCTACATGGAGTACATTTCATTAGTGGGTCTCCATACCCTTTACAAAGAGCTAAGAATCTTTGCCTCCACCTCTCATCTCTCTTGTTCTGCCCTTAGAAGGTGGTCGGGGTTAATGTCTAAAAAACATTAAACCCAACAGCCCTCTGTAATGCAAAATACCATGGACTAGCACACCCATCTAACGAGTCTTTTCAAAACCTGTCTGATGATGTGCACACAGTGGGGGATGAACATCGCAAAGATTCATCTCCTCAGTCAGAGGGGAAACTGTATGATATGTGGAGACCACCAGATGACCTTACCTGCTGCCATTAGATAAGCATCCAGATGGCCACAAGTAGCCAGAGCTATGGAGGTCACCACACCTACCACAGACCCTTCCCCATCATTTTCTATCCCCTCTGCCTCATGCTAGAAAGCAAGCCGAACTCTCTCTTGTCTTGGTATGGTGGTGCCATGCTGGTCAACATTGGGTAGTGAGACTCAAGGGTCTGTCCCCCAGTTCAACCTCCTTTCCTTTAATGGAGGGAGGCTCAGTCTGTGGAAGGGGTTCCGTGGGAACCTAAAGGCCTCTTGGTACTTTCTGGTTAACTGGGCAGAGGGGAGCAGCATGTGTAGTGGCTGTAGGGTGCTGCAGGACAGGAGCCTGCATGAAGCAGTGTCTGATAGCACTCACCCCTCTGCAGATGTCGTTGCTGCTTCAGCTGTCAGGCTTTGAGAGTGTTCCCAGTTTTTCTAACAGCCCAGGAAGTGGTTTAACAAGGAAATTGAAACATGGGTGACTGGTGCCACCTTAGTTGGGGGGGCATGTGCCCCCCCAGTGACCAGGCAGCGACCAGGTTGGGGGGTCCCCCCGCAGCCAATCTCGTTGACCAACACCTGAAAGGTCATCAAGCCTTGAAAGGTGTTTCCTAGAGGGTTTTATTAAAGCTTCAGACTGCCAGTCCTCCTGATAGGCAATGTTTCTGCCTGCCTAAAGTTTGTACAGTGTCTGCTTAGATTAGTGGTGCTGGACCACTGACTTCAGAGAGGCCATGCTGTGACATCTTCCCAGGAAGCCAGGTAGCACTGTACCAGTGACTTCACAGGGGCCTATGCTTGACATCATTGTAGCAAGGTCTGTAGCACTGAGAGAGTGATCTCTAGTTAGATGCATGTGCCGTGACACCATTTCTGCAGGTTAAGTAATGGTGAGCCAGTAACCTTACAGTGGCTCTGCTGTGACATCGCCTCAGCAAGCTAGGCAATGCTGAGCTGGTGACCTCAAAGAGGCCTGTGCTGGGTCATAATACCAGGCTATCATGTGGAGCTGAGACACTGGGGCTGGATTGTGACACTATCCCAACAAGGCAGAATAGTTGCCCCAATATCCCTACAAATAGGGCCCCCGTTCTGAATGGGACCTCTGTATGGGCTCTGCTTGGACACATTCCTTCTATAGTAATTCAGTGAGCTTGGTCAGCTATATGGTTCTGCCCAGCTTGGCCCTTCATCCCCAGCTCAGGACTCCTTCTTATTCTGTACCCGTACTACTCTCCAGGATGAGGCTGGCTTCTGAATGACCCAGGTTCAGTCCTTGCAGTATCTGCTCCTGGATGCCCTGAAAGATCTGCTGGAGCAGCAGACAGCAACAGCCAGCTCCTGCCACTGAATCCTCCCTCTGGTGAATTGACAATGAGGGTCCTTTTTCATATGGTGCCTCGGTGTCCCCAATTGTATACCTGTGATAACAGCACTTTGCTATCTGTGTAGGGTACTATGATGCTAAAGGTGTTAATGATTGTGAGGAGGCCCAGGCTTGGATACAGGGCCCTGTGAGGACCTTTCAAGAGAGAGTCCCTTTGCTCATGAACCAACCCCCTCTCCTTGGCTGCTTGTGATTGGAAAGCAGGGCACTGCTGCCTTCACAAATGAATGCTGTCGTGGGGCACATGCCATCCTGACTATGGGCTGGGGCATGAAGAGATCTGGACTGTGTGTCACCCCAACTAAAGCGTCTCTGCATAACATCACTGGGTGTGGTGCGAGGGTCATTTTATGCCTGGGCTCCATCCATTGACCTAGTGCTGTCCTCTCATTGCGTTCCAGATGCAGTCAACCTACTACCTGCAGGGCCTGCATCTCTTCGTCCCCAACATCTTCCAGGACAGCCAGACCAATGGCAGTGTCCTTCCTACCAACACTACCAGCAGCTATACGGTGAGGAGTACAGTGAGGGTGAGGGGGGTGGGAGACAGTGGGGAGTCACAGTGCCACTGTGGGAAAGGGGCGGGTGACATCAACAGCCTGACGATGAAGCCCTAGGCAGAGTGAGAGGGGAGGGATGTTGCTAGGCTCAAGGCAAGTGTTGAGTGGTGCCACCTCCTGTGAAGTTGAGGCAGGTGATTTCTCCAACCTGCGGAGGTGGCCACCCTAAGGGATGACACTGTGACTCCCAAAGCAGAGCAGGACTTATTCCTGACACCACACTGAGAAGCAGAGTCTGCATGTGTGCAACTCTGGCCATGGTCATAGACTTGGCCAGAAGCAGGATGAAAACTCTCTCAGGTTCTTCTGCTTTCCCTTTGGACCCAGAGTCCCAGGGTACTTCCCAGAGGGGAAGTGGGATGAGGACTTGTGGGGAGGGGGATGAGAGTGCAGGAAGTCCAAGGGTAGGAGGGTAGTCAGATGTGGTGGAATCACATTAAGACAACACTCCCTGACCCAAGTCCCTCTATTCAGTTCCCTGTTCCTGCTTCTGTGATGGTTAGCTCAGGTGCTGTGCTGACCCAGATCTCTTTCTCCCCAGTTCCCAGATGCCTGGCTTCTGTTAGCCAATGTGGTAGTCCTACTGGCCCTGGTCCCACTGAAGGATCGAGTCATTGACCCGTTCCTGATGAGGAGGAAGTTACTGCCCTCGGCGCTTAAGAGGATGGCCCTGGGCATGTTCTTCGGCTTCGCCTCCATCATCACAGCAGGTAATGCCCAGCACAAGTAGCTAAGAAACTGTAGCTGCTGGGAGACTGAAGCACTGCCATGACCAGGGCTGGAGCTGCCTGGGGTAGGACAGGAGCCCATAAAGGAGCCTACATGCTTTTTCTGACCCAAAAGATGGGATCCAAGACTATCCCCTGAGTGTACATGCTCAGCCAGGACAGAGTCCTGTGCGTGTGCCTACACATCTACATTGATTCTCCTACTTTTCCCTGGCAGGTGTCCTGGAAACAGAGAGACTGTGGTACGTGACCCACAACCAGACCATCTCGCAGCGTATTGGGAAGGATGAGTACTTTGCTGCCCCACTTCCCATCTGGTGGCAGATTCCCCAGTACTTGCTCATTGGAGTCAGCGAGATCTTTGCCAGCATTCCAGGTGGGCGATTGAGCAGTGACCCTGCTAGGGGTGAGGGGCACAGCAGCAAGCCTGGGGGCTGCTAAGGGAAATGGCTAGCGTATGCTCTGAACAGCTCCAAGAGCCAGGCTGGTGTAAGGGAAGTACTGGCCTCCTGCTTCCTGATGCTAGGCATGTCTTGGCTTTTATAGTAGCTGGTTGGCAGTAGACTGAACCCAAAGCTAGCTGGTTCAAGGCCAATGTTCTACCCTCAGTCTCAGGGCATGGCTCTGCCATATGTTTTCCATGTTATACATCACTGACTGCTACTGTGGTTGCTAGAAGGGCTGTCCATGAGCTCTTCTCTGTGATGATTGAGGGCCCCCTCTGTTCTCTCACCAGGCTTGGAATTTGCCTACTCTGAGGCCCCCAAGTCCATGCAAGGAGCCATCATGGGACTCTTCTTCTTCATTTCTGGTGTGGGCTCACTCCTGGGATCTGGGCTTCTGACTCTCCTCTCAGTGTCCTCACAGGGCTGGATGCACTGCCCTGAAGACTATGGTGAGTGCATGGCCAGGATCCCCAAAAGAGAAGGGAGAAGCACCTCCCCGCTTAAACCAGGAGTGGGATCTTATGGAGGGTGGAAATAGATCCATGTGTGTCCAACAGGGCTTGCACTAAACAGGATGGGTGCTGAGCATGGAGCATGGGTGTTTACCCACAACCAGCTGGGGAACTTTCACTCAGGGTGCCATGAGATGGGAGATTCACAGAGCTGAAGGCCAAAAGGGACCTTCTTGTCTAATCTCCTGCATGACACAGATGACAGACTGTCACCCAGATGTCCCTGCCACACTCCACACTAAATGTGGAGAATATATATATATGACCCGTAATCAGCAGAGGCCTCTATGCCAAGGCTAGAGTGGGGCTGCACTGACAGTGTTGAGGGAGAAGGGTCTCTGGGGGTGGGGAAGGTGCTGGCAGCAGGGGCCACCAGACTGCAAGGTGTAAGAGAGAGGTGTTCCCTTTGGCAGAAGTGCTTGCAAAGAGTTGGCAATGCCCACTTGCTGCCAGCAGGGGCACTGTAATAGTAGAGCATGGCCTGGGATCATGGCAAAGGAAAGAGTTGGAGGTGAATGGATAGTGTCAGTAAGTGGAGCTGAGACTGCTACCCCTTTGCTTTCCCAGGGAACATTAACCATTGCCATATGGATTATTACTTCTTCCTGCTGGCCGGGATCCAGATGGTGACCTGCATGCTCTTTGTCTGGATCTCCAGCCGTTATGAGAAGCAGCAGCAGCGGGAGCGGGAGCAGGAGCAGGAACCTGACTTCTGCCATCTCTGCATTGGGCATGAAGAGGACTAACATGCCCACAAACCAAATCCTAGGCTCTAGGGGATGTAGCACCGCTTCCACTTTCCCCTTCCCACTCACCAGCTCTCTTGGTTTGGGCTGGTGGATGGAATGTCACCCTCATGGTCTAGCTAGTTCAGCCCAGCCATTTTAGGGTTGGAGGAAAGGAAAGGGATGTACCTTGCCAGGACAGTGGGGTATATCACCAGTAACGCATGCAGAGGGGGCAGGGATGGAGCCTATCGGGAAATGCTTCTCCGTTCCTTCCCAGTCTGTAGGACCTTGCACCACATATCCAGAATCCTCCTTGTGTCCCAGGGATGCCCTATCCTGCTTGGACTTAGCTACCCAACAGGCTCAGAAGCTGTAGAGCACCCTAGATGACCTTGCTGGGATGGGCACTTGTAAGGGGCTGGTCAGCTAGGAGAAAGAACTGGCCATGCAGGAAATGTGGTAATAATTCCCAGAGACCAGGAAAGCTGGACCCTTCCTGTACAAAGGGTCATGCAAGGAGACAAACCCTTTGTGGCCCCAGCCTAAGTTCTCAAGGAGACCATGATGGGACCTGATCTGGGAGAGAATCTGCTGGTGCCACCTACAGGTGGTAATGGAGAATCACAGTCAATTGTATCATGCTACATGGGGTGTGATGGGAGAAGATAGTGACCAGGGTTTTGCCCCGTTCTTTTTAGGTGGGTTATTCCAAACAGAGAGGTGGTCAATATGGGATGTTGTAGTCTTAGAGCTTTAATTGATTATCTCTGTTTAGAAAAACATGTTTAAAGTCACCCTAACATGGAGGCAAATGCAGACTAAAATTGGGGCACATCAAATAGGACTTAAATGCCCAGCTTGAGATAGCCTGTGCTTTTATAAGAAAAGAACAACGACTGACAACATACATCAGAACTCAGCACACTGGAATGCTTTGCACTGTTAGGTTTTTTTAAACTGTAATGGGATTGATGCAAGCAAGCAAATAAAGCTTCCCCTTCAGTGTTCATGGCCTGAAGCATGGCAAGAGAAGAGATCCTGAAGGGAACTGCACTATTCATTGCTGGGATTACTACACCTTATGTTAAGGTTCTGCAACTTAGATATCCAGCAGAGATCAGAGCCCCTGTATCCCAGGTAGAGGCATAACTGGGCAGTTCTGTGCCCTGTATGGCAGTGGCTGGGCCTGTAGCGCACCCACTGCTGTTTTTGCCTCTTCCCTCTGCCTCCTGAAGTCAGTGACTGGGGCTGGTGCCTTGGTCGCCCCCCTTAGTTAAACTACTGATGCTATTGATGCTATGGGCTTTAAGTAGAGGACAGTCCCTGCCCACAGGCTGGACTTCAAATCCTGCAGAGCACATTGAGCACAGTGGTCTGCTCATGTCCAATCAGTCTCTAGATTTGGCCAGTGTAGGTCCAGGATAGAAGGAAAACTTGTCACATCCATTTTACAGATGAGGAATTGAATGGCAGAGATTAAATCTTCCTGTTCCAGCCCAGAAGCATAAGGGCCCAGATCCTTAAGGGTATGACGTGCCTAACTCATAGTTTAAGCAAAGGTACATTGTTAGGCATGAGTTTGTTTGCATGATCTGATGGAGTGATTTGTCTAAGGCAGTGGTTCTCAACCTTTGGTACCTTATGTACCACCTGCCGATTGACACAGCAAAAGCGAAACCAGAAGTCCCACCGCGATGCTGCCGGTTTTGCCACTGTGGGCGTCAGCTGGAATTTCCAGCCTGAGCAGGCAAAGACCCAAAAGCAGCACCCACGTACCCCCTGCCTGTGTCTTTTGTACCCCCAGGGGTATGCATACCATGGGTTGAGAAACACTGGTCTAAGGTCATACAGGAATTTGTGTCAGAGGTGTGGATGGAGTCCAGGTCTCTGGAGACTCACTTTAGGGCTGTTACCACTGTTCCACCCTCCTCCTTGCTCTCATGCCTATACCTAAGCAGAGAGTAGTGCCAGGAAAAAAAGCCCCCAGTACTGGAAAAAATAAATACGTGGTCCATATTCTGTCAGTCTCCTGAGGTGTCAGAGTGATTTAAATGAGACTTGAAAAGTAGAAGTGTCCCTTTCAGTCAACCTTAGAGCAGAGCCAGGCTTGGTAGTGGCCCTACTTGTGAACCAGCCTGGGATTCTGTCTGCTCTGCTTAGCTGACTGTTCTTATGAGGAAAAGAAATGTTCAGACTCATGGTAGAAATGCTTTCTGCACAAGGGAGCTCTCGGGAAGCCCAGAGAGGCCCCCCTGGGAGCTGCTCCACTGCTTCTTGGCAGTATGAACTGTCTAACTGAGGGCACAGAGATGGGTGGAGGCCAGGATATCAGGGTGGCTCTGTGTAGGCTGAGGAGGCTTTTCCCTTTAGAAAAAAAACTCTTTTGAAATCTTGCAGGGTGATCGCAGAGTGGGGATAGACTGGATTGGCTACAGATACATACAGGACTTGAGCTCAGTAATTGCTTCCTGGATACTCCCGCCCCAAATCTTCTGCTTGTACCCAGGGAAACCCTTTCCTTACTCCTTAGGGACATCCACTCCCCCATAAGGAGCTGGCCTGGGCAATTCCAGGCTCTTCCTAGACTTGGTGTGTGCTAAAGCAATCCCCAGGCTGCTGTAATACATGCTCTGCTTGTCAGATCTCCTGAGAAGAGAATAGCTATCTTAGCTGCAATCTCCCCATTAACCCAGTCTGCTCACCTTCCTGGAGAGAAAGGAGCAGAGCCATTGTGCCAGTTCTTCCCCCACTGGCATAGCCCCTTAGTGCAGGAAATATTCTCAGCAGCCCCATCTTTCTCTCTTATGGTTCCTTTTTCCAATGTAAATTACTGCTATCTCCTATCTCTACGGCTTTGGCCTCTCTTACAATTTGGCCCCATTTCTTTTTATCAAGCTGTATTTCTCCAATTGCTAGAAATTCACACAAAAAGCTCCTAGGTCCTGTCTGATGTTCACCCTCCAGCCTCCTGCAATTCACTATTAGATCTGGTGTTCCTTATATCATGCTCACTCACTGGCCTCAGAACAGGGTCCTTTCATTTCAAAGGCATTTAATTGTATTTCTGCCTACTGAAAAAAGGCCAATATGAAACAATAAGCCTTATAGATCTTACTGTAGCTTCTGAGGCACAAGTTCAAGCCCCTGACTGTACTCATGCTGAAGGCCCAGTTGACTTTATCATGCCAACTGGAGAATCAGTGAGGTGGCTGGACACAGTATCACATCACTCCTTGTGTGCGCCTTAAAACACAGAATCACAGGATTGGAAAGACCTCAAGCATCATCTGGTCCAAACCCCCTGAACAACTGTAAAAGTTCTGTTCCTAAATAGCCCCCTTTTTAATTCCTCCCCTCCCCCTACAAGGAAAATAAAATTTGATAGCTTCCTTGGGCAGTATATCCCACTGCCTCAGTTTTAACAGCAAGAACGTTTTTCCCCTGAGATCTCAACTAAATCTACTTTGTTACAATTTATAGCATGTTAGACTGGGTCACCTAGTCTCGGACAGACCTCTGACCTTAGCTCTAATATTTGAAGCTTTGTCTTTCTCGTTAGTTGTCTGCAGATAGAAATTCTCTGGCCAAAGCATCATCAGCTATTAATGCTCCTGGTACTTAAATCACCTAATTTCTTGATATCTCGAACTGAGAGGTAGTAATCTGTTAGCCTGAAATCAGGCAGAAGGCAAGGTAGAGGTGGATTTTATAAACTGATTTAGAGTCAGTCTATATAAGGTGTACCTCTACCTTGCCTTATATCCATGGTAATTGGTTCCTAGACGAGACTGCCCAAGACCATCAGGTTGGTTTACAGCCATGTATGTGACTTTATTATTCTCACTGCCTTCTTTCTGTCTGCAGCTGTCCTTTGTACCATATCTTCTGTTCATCCTACAGTAGTCAGGTCATCATCTAAAATGATTCTCTTCCACTTCTCCACCCAATGGGACTAAGGTCCCTGGGGCCTCAAAGTGAGTCCTAGAAACTGGAATCCTGTGCTGCTGTACAGCTGAGAACAAGGGGGATCCCTCGGTTCTGCCCTCCCCATAAGGGACACTGTGAGCACAAGGCTGATCCCAATGATAGAAGCCAAAAACACAACACACCAACACTGGGTGGGCTGCTTTCTTTTGTTTTTTGTTGGGTTTTTTTCATCTTTAATATTTTATTTTTGTAACAATGTTAAGAATCAAAAAATCTTCCATAAATTAAGGACCCGTTGTGGCAGCCTCCCAACGCTACAGGTATAAAATGCCAGAGATCGTACAAAATGAACATGCAGCCAGGGATGAAAGGGACTGGCCGGTGGCCCTGGAAGTCCCCATCTTCACCTACCATGGAAAGAAGGGGCATCCTCGAGGCCAGGTCACACGGAAGGACATGTGCCATCACAACCATCACAATGAACACGAAGTCGCAATGGGAGCAAGAGCAATAAGGGAACCCAGGCACAACTCCCCTCCTTCCCCGCCCATGTCAGCTCTGGAGCAGAATGCAGCCTGAGCTCAGGCTCCACGGAGGAAAGCATCCCTCAGAGGGTAATCAGGGCACCTGGGTTCAATCCTGTGGAGGTAGAACTCCCTATACTGAGATGGTACCAGTGCTTGGATCATAATGGAAGCTGACTGGGGAGATCCTTAGGACAGAACCTAGGAGTCAGTCCTTGAAGGCAGAGCCCTCCTCAGGACCTAGGGATGGTCCCTCAAGGGGAGAGCACTTCCTATTAGAGATGCCAGCAGGTAGGGCTCTCCCCTAACACTGATCAGGGAGGGGGTAGGTTTGGTCCCTGTGGGCTGAGTCCTCCCCTGAGAAATGACGGGGGGGGGGATGCCATTGGGCCTACCCCCTGGAGAGCAACAGAGGAGTGTGAGGGTTGGTCCCTTATTGGTTTGCCTGGCTTGGTGCCAGCGGGGCACAGAGGCCCAGAGATCAGGAGCTGCCCCGAATCCTCTCCATGTAGCTTCTCAGCGCATCAGGGTCCCGCAGCCCCATGTCCTCACAGACCCAGCGAATGTCATCCTCACTTGCCACCAGGATAGACTGGACATTGGAGGCAGGGGCAGGGACAGAGGCAGGTGGGGGAGAGGCTGTATCCTCAGGGGCACGGGGTGTGGCAAAGGTCACAAACTCTACCCGCTTGCGCCTGCCCCCCGATGCCGATGCCTCCTTCCGGGACAAGGTGCTGGTGGGAACCGGGCTCCCAGGAGCTGTGGGGAGGAAGGTGCTTGTGGGAACAGTGATGTCAGGTCCTGTCACCTCAGGAGCTGGGGTCTCCCCAGTGCCCATCTCTGTGCCTGGGGGTGTCCCACAGCAGCAGCACCCGCCATCCTTGGCAGGGGGAGCAGAAGGGTCGGGTGCTGGCTCAGGGCTAGGCTCTGAGTGCTGGATGCGGCGGTCCAGTTGCCGGCCCAGTTCCTCTTGGTCAGTGCCCAGCCACACCCAGTTGTGGGGCTGCTGGTTGGTAGAAACTGGCCCCAGCCCAGCATCAGGAGGTTCCTTGCGCTGGTAGCGCAGCACAAAGAAGACGCAGTTGATGAGGAAGATGAAGATGGCCAGGCAGAAGACACCCAGGAGAACATACATGCCGATCTCCAGGTCCGTCACCCGCTCGGGGGCCTTCACCATCTCATCCTCCTCTTCCTCGTCTTCCTCCCCTTCTCCCCCTGGGCTGTCCTCCTCAGAGGAGCCAGCCCCATGCCCCTGGAACTTGGTTAACACTGGCCCCACACCGGCTGGGTCCCGCTTCCGTGGCCCCACCACAGTCTCCGTGGCTGCCGTAACCGCCTCCCCTGACATGGCCCCCTCTGCACGCTGGAAGGGTGACTCCGCGTGAGGGTGGGGATCATGGTGGCGTGGACTACCTGCTGTTGGGAGATGCCGAGCAATGCCCACCTCCAGCCAGGCAGTACCAGAGGCCAGTGGGGCCTTGTGTTTGCCCTTGCGGCAGGAGTCTGGGGTATGTAGGCTCAACTGCAGGAGAGGCCCATGGCCTGGCCCCTCAGCAACGATGGCTGGGTGAATCTGCTCCTCGGCCAGCCGCACCGTGGCCACGCTGGGGTCCAGGGAAGAGACCAAGAGCACTACATCACGCCAGCCGTACAGCTCCAAGGGTGCCAGGGTGTGATCGGAGAACTCCAGCCAGACACTGAGTGCTGCTTCCTACAGGGAGGGACATGCAGGGAGGAGGAGAGATGCTAGTGAGCCCCATGTTGCTGCACCCTCCTCTGAGTGGGAGGGTGACAGCTGCCTTCTGACTTGCCTTGGCCTCCTGCAAAGGGCAAAACCAGCAGGCAGGGAGCATGACCTTGAATCCCCTCCCTGCCTTGGGTCACTCCCATCACTGTGCACAGATGGTGTGTGGGAGGCACAGCCCCATGGGCACCAGGCCCTGCCAGATGCCTGTGTCTTCCATAGCTGGTTAAGGTTGGGAGGCCCTGATTGTATTACGGGAACCAAGCCTCAGGAAAGCAGCAGCTGTGGCCTGGCTCAGCCAGTCATGTTCAACCCCCATTCAATCTGCCCAGGCTCAGTCTAGCTCTGGGCTGTCCCAGCCCCATGGTGCAGCATTGCCTGCCCCCATAATTCTCTGCAGAGCCACCCTTACCTGCTTGGGGGAGTGCAGGGTAGTCAGTGCCTGGCAGGTGGCAGTGAGGATATTGGGATGTCCTGGCTCTGTGCTCAGTGCCAGTGAGAGGCCAGAAACCAGCTGGGCCCGCAGCTCCACCACAGACACCTTCTCATCCGACACCACCAGTGTCTGCTCACCCAGGATGGAGTCTGAGACAGGGGAGCGTACCTGTGCCAGGGGGAGAGACACAGGTACTGACAGGAAAGACCCCAAGGACTCCAACTTCACAAATAACCCTTTGCTCACCCTCCCCATCCTCTTCACTGTTCCCCTCGACCCATAACCCCCCATACCCCCCCAAATATCTCCTGCCCATCCCCTCACTCATGTACCCATTCTCCTCTTCCTCTTTCATTCCCACCCCCCTTCCCCACCAGTCTCTGCACCTCTTTTCACCATCCCCCCTCCCTCCCTTACCTTCCCACCTTTCTACTTCCCCTCTTACTCGCATCCCCACCCCCAGTCTCAAGCACCCATCACCTTCTGCCCAGCCCCACCCGTACCCCTACCTCTACAGATGTCACCCCTGGCTCTCGGCCGATCACCACACTTCTGCCTTCCAGTGTGGCCACGCGGGGGTCCTGCACCCGGGCCCGTCCCCCCACCAGGTGGGAAACATCCAGAAGCCAGTCGGAGCTGGGCATGTAGGTCAGGTGCCGACTGCCGTCCAGTGGGTGAGCCACAAAATGTGCCAGGAAGCGGACAGAGGCACGCTGGTACTGGAGGCGGCAGCTGCGAACCCTCTTCTCCACATCCTCCCCAGGCTCCTCAGGTTCTGCTGGGCTGCTGTGTGAAGAGAGAGATGTGCTTCATGAGGGTCAGAGGGCTCAGCAGAAAGAGTCCAGCCACAGGAACCTGCCCTTAGCCAACAGGGGAAAGCCTGGGAACCAGCTCATCCCTCCCTCACTGCACCACAGATGCCAGGACTCCACCTTGGGAGGCTCCACTGACAGGGGCCTGGCCTCCTGCCTCCAGAGTCTAGGACAACTCCCTCCTGCGAAGCCTCCATCTCATAGTATCCTGGTACAAAAGCAGGATGCACTGTTTTTAAACCCTCCCAGACAAGTGCCTCTTCTTGGAAACCTCCAGTGAAGGAGTTACCAAAGTCTCTAGGCAGCTTGTTCCATTGTCCTACTGCTCCTACAGCTGAGAAGCATCTCCTGCGATTTAACTGAAATCTGCCTTGCTGACATTTAAACCCAATGTTTTTGTGTCCCACTCTCTGTGGCTAGCAAGAACAATTGTTCTCCCTCTTCTGCACAGCAACCTTTCAAATATTTGGAACGTGCTATCATGTCCCTCCTTCATTTCCTTTGCTCCAAGCTAACCATACCCAGTTCTGTACATCTCTCCTCAGATGGCTGGCTTTCCACCCCTTGCCTCCCAGCCCCTCTCCTCACCATGCCACAGGGAAATCTTCCCTGCACCCTCCTCTGATCATTTCAAAAACTGCTTGTTGGATGGGCTCATCTCTCTGGTTATCTGAACACTTCAGAGGATACAATGGAGTCTCAACTGAGTTCCCTCTTCCCAAACCAGGCTCTAGTGCCTTCCCACATCAGGTCCTGGTGGAAACACTACCCTGCTTTCCTCACATGAGGACCCTGATACATCCCTGTGCAATAGGCCTCACACACCAGGCCCTTCCTACTCTCTCTACCTCTTTACCCCACAAACCACCCTAGTTCTCAACATGCTCCCAGCTCCACCCACCTCTTCCTTACACACCCAGGTCTACCCTGCTTTTCCTCCTCTTTCACCCCCACTGCCATTCCTACAGCATAGCCCTGGCACCTTCCCCATGAACAAGGCCCGGTCTCTTCCCCATGCTTCCACTTACTGCTGAGCCAGGAGCCCCAATCCTTGGAGAGCTGATAAGACTGACCTGTCTGAGGTGGCGCTGGGCAGTCTCCAGCCACGCACCTGCTCCAGCGTGGTGTCAGTCAGCTCAACACGCAGTGGCAGCAGTGGCACCCAGACGGTAAAGAGTGCCGAGGCATGGAACCGGCGGAACCAGAAATCCACACGTGCCCCGTGGGCTCCCCGGCTTTCCTTGCCTCCCACATAGACAGAGTCACAGGCATCAGTCACCTGTGGGCGGGAGGTGCACAGGAAAAAGCACAGTTAGCCAGAAACACAGATAGTGCTGGAGGAGCAGATAGATTCCCCCACCCACCCCATGCTCCAACACATCCCCAGCCCTTGCTGACCATGGAGGATACTCAATGGATCTAGGGAAAGGGAGAGAAGAGACCAGGGAGGGGAAGCAAAGCAGAAGTAGAACAGAAGAGGACCAGGAGTACCTGGCCATGAAGTCAGGTTGGGGAAGGGGCTGTGGGAGGATCACTGGGATGAAGTAGGAGACTTCTCCATCTGGCTATGGTGTGAGAGGTGGCAGAGATGGGGCACTAAAGAGTTCCACAGAGCCAGGGCTATCTATGGAAGAGAGAGGCAAAATTTTAGAGCTGGGAAGTAGTGAAGAGGGCTTGAGTGGGGTCCTGAGGAAGCCCAGCTTTTCCAGATGAAGCTGGATAAAAAGTCGCCCCTCTCCCCTGGCTGCCTCACTGGCCTACCTCACCAGCCTCACATGACCTGGGCAAGAGGCACACCCATGTAACCTCTGACCTTGTGCCCTCGGCTCCTTCCTCGTTCTGGCACCACATAAAGTATAGAAATGCACCTTACTGTGAGGCAGTGGGCCAGGCAGGTGGCTTCTGCCATTAGGTTCTCACCTGCAGGACCTGCTTGTTGGCGGACTCACAACTCATCTGCTCGGTAACCTCGAACACAGCTCCTCCCATCTCCACAGCAACCAGCTTCACCGGCACTGACTGGGGAACTCCTGTCAGGGGGGCTGTGTTCACGATTTCCTGCTCCTGAGGAGATTAAAAAGGAGAGGCAGAGATTGAGATGGGTCTCAGGGTAGTGGTGGGGGTGAGGGAACAGACCCAAAGGGCCTTACCTTCACCAGTGGGACTAGAGCCCGGACATCTCGCTCTGACACCTGGATCTCCCACACCATCTTGTCCTTCTCGGCTTCAGGGTCCTGGCCGGGATACTCCACCTGCCAGGTGACGGGGCGCGTGGATGCCAGCCCCCCTGTGCTGTTCTCCACCAGCAGGTCCAGGTACAGGAACTCAGGGAAATCTGCCGCACTAGGCGGGGGAAAAGGAGGGGACAGTGACTGGGAGGTGGCCAGAGCATCCCTGCTTTGTGGCAAGCCAGAGTCCTGCTTTGTGGTGACCCAAGGGAGTCTCACTGCTATGCCCAGCTGGATGGTGGTGCTCTCCCCTACACTGGGGTTCTTCAAAAGGAGACTGGACAAGCACCTCGCTGGGGTCATCCTACCCCAGTGCTCTTTCCTGTCCATGTCAGGGGGTGGACTCAATGACCTACTGAGGTCCCTTCAGACCCTAACACCTATGAATCTATGGAGATGGGGATGCAACCCCATGCACTGCTGAGTCCCTCCCTCCCATCTGATTGGCCAGAATTCAGAGAAATGGCAACAAATGACACATCCCTGGGCCCATGGGTATGATCATAGCTGCATTTAGACTGGCTAGATCCTTGGAGAACAGAAACATGGCTACTACCCATTCAGTGAGTCACAGGGATCCCAGCCTGCACTCTGGCTGGCTACATCCTGAGACAACAGATACATTGACACTGTGCTTTCTATGAATCACGCAGTTCCCTACCATCAGTCCAATTGGCCAATGCCTGCATGAATAGGCACCCCAAATGCCACATGCCTCCCTGCATCCAGTCCAACAGGCCGGTGCCTGGCAGAATAGGAGTACCAGTTCCACCCCAACATGAGCCAAGTAGCTCCTACCTCCATTCCAGTTGGCCATTGTCCACTTGGTGACACGTGACCAGAGCTGTGTGATGCTTGGAGCCCTTGAACTTGTCCAACTTGGCTGTCCAGGCCTCAGGGACAGCAGGACGAGCAGCCAGGACCTGAAGCCCTTTCTTCAACTTGATCCTGAAATAAGTGAGAAGTACAGCACAAAATTAGGGTGCAACTTGGTTTGAAGGTCTAGGGGGAGGCCACCATCCTCCAAACACAGCAGGGAAACCACATGGGGCTGGTGGGACATACATTGGAGATGGATCCCCCTGGAGCTCCTCTGGGACCCAGCAAGCTGGGAGAGAGGGGCCACCCCCTCGTCTCAGGTGGCATTCTCTGCCCTCAGACCTCACCCCATGCCTCACCTGAGGGTCAGCTGGTCGGCGGTAAAGTTCTGCTGCAGAATCAGTGTGGCTGTGAAGAGCTGTCCTGGCCGCAGTGCCATGTCAGGGACGCGGATCAATACATTGTCATCCAACCGCACCTCCTGGCGCCGAGGAGGGTCCATCACACGCAACTCCATGGAGCCCACATACAGCAGGCTCTCCTTGGGGATCTCACTGCCCAGCCGGGGCTTCTCTCGAAGCCCTGCCCGACCACACTCCCCGGGCACCAGGCTGTAGTACAGCTCGGCACGCTCGGCAAGCTCCATGGCTCTGTGCTGGCTGTGTGAGGCAGTGCTGGGCGAGGAAAACCAGCGTGGTGGGATCTCCAGCTCCACCACGCACACTCCCAGGGGTGCCTGGGCAGGGGAGAAGAGTATGGCACAGGCTCAGAGGGCACAAACTGGGCTCCAACCCTGGGGGGAGACCTCATCACTGCAGTCTCCCCAACACCTCCTAAACTCCCACTACTAGGGCAGACCCTACAACTTATTGCCCATCCTCAAGGCAATTCAAGAGGCTCCCAATCCTTGCCCCAGCGCTCAAAGCACTGCTGCCTCCAACATATAGCACATCTCTGTGCCTCTAGATCCCCAAGACATCGTCAGAAGAAGAGCAGATGCACCAGAGCCCAAATGTCCAGCCCCCCTCCCCATGGTTTGGACAGCAACCTTCAGTCCACCCATGGTGACCCAGTCTTGACCTAGGAAGAGCCTCAGTGAAGCAATCTTTGCGGGGAAGGTCTGAAGGTCCTGCATACCACACCCCAACCTCCAAACACTGATGACCTCACAGACTAGAAGAGCAGGCAAGGTTGAGGACAGTTGGCACACTGACCTGGAGGCGGCAGGCTCCACGCACTGCCCGCATATGATGGTAGGCATGCAGCCAGACACAGGGCAGGTCCTGCCGCCTGGTGAGCCAGTCCTGACCCTTGAGATGGAAAAGGACCCTGGCATATGGCTCAGCTGGGGACACTGAGCCCTCGATGGACACAGCTCTGATGTTCCAGGTGGTGTTACTGTTCCTCTGGCGGGGATCATCCGTGGGTGCCACCTGCAAAGGGAAAGGCAAGCTGAGCCCAGAAAAGACGTGGCTCTCCCCACATTAGGAGGCAGTGCAGGGCATGGTAACATCTCCAAGCTCATGTGCTGGGCGTAGAGTGGAGACTCCTCCCTGTGGCTGGACGGGCAGGGTTACCTGTCGAGCAGTGAAGGGTAGGTAGGTGGCTTGGATGACAGGCTGTGTTGTGGGCTGGTGATGAAGGAGGAGGTAGGTCTCTGAACGGGAGCCCAGGGAGACATTTCCTGGCAGGTATCGATCTGTCCGCTGCAGCCGGAAATAGTTCGGCATGTCTAGCACCTCGAGTTCAGCTGGCAGGTAAACTGGGTCCAGGGGGTCAGAGTCTCCATTCACTGCGGAGAAAGGAAGGACCGGGTCCATTGATATGGGATACATCCATTCTCCAACATAGGGAGCCCTCACCTCCCTATGTCCAACCCCTCTGTGGCTGTAAGGAACTTGGGCAGGCTTCCCACCAGGGTATGGAAAGACAGCAGAGAAAAGAATTGCTTCCCAAGTGATTTGGGTGACCTCTTAACAGAGGAAAGGGAGCTATTTGTAGTACTCCAGTCTGAAGTAGTCTGAACTGAGATAAAGACTCCCTGGCGTCACGCATTGGAAAGGCATAGTGTTACTACCCACAGTATAAAGATGGGAAACTGAGGCACGGAAGCATTAAGCAATTCACCTCTGGAGGGATTTGAACTCCGCTGCTTAATGCCCTAACAGCCTCCCTTGCTAATAATGTGCCTTGATTTTAGGTACTTCTCTGTCCCACAGAATTAACCCTTTCCTATATTCAGGGAGGCAAAGCAGAGATTGTTATACATATAGCCTTCCAGTATTCCCCTCCCCCAGCAATTCTGACTGGCCATGGCAAACCCTTCCACTTCCTGCCCTGAATGCACATGGAGTGTTGCTGCAAGCTGTTAAGCAGCTGCCAAGCCCAAACACACAGGCATTTGCTGCTTTTGCTAAAGATTAATCTACTCTTAATGCCAGTCTATGGATTATGACTGCAAGCCAATGCATGCAATTGGAATGGGATGTGAAAGCTTTCAGGACACTGAGTTAGGGTGGAAATTGACAAGGATGTAGGCAAAACGTATGTGAAGTGCCCCTTGTCCAAATACAGGATAAGATCCTACTACTCCTGCCCAGTCATAAAGTTACTCCCTCAGCTTGAGAGGTAAAAAGTTTATGCTTAAATCAGTGGTTTTCAACCTTTTTTTCATTTATGGACCCCTAAAAATATTCAAATGGAGGTGCAGACCCCTTTGAATTGTAAGTGTGGGTATTCACATACTTTTGACTCATCATAGTCATCTTTTGTGTACCCCTTACACACAGTCTGCGGACCCCCAGGGGTCCATGGAAACCACCGGCTTAAGCATTATAGTTCAGAGCTTGTTGATTAACTGTTAGAAGACCTGATGCACTGCAAAGAGCAGCAAGGGAGTTTTACTGACATCTCACCAGGCTATCACACCTCTCTCCCTTTATCACTTATAATAGCCAGCATTGAGCAGCACAGACTCAGGTGGACCTCCAACATCACTTTTCCCCAGCACCAGGCTCTTGCTTGGTGGTCTCCCATCCAAAGAACAGAGAAGATCAACCTTGCTTAGCTTAACCACCAGCAAGCTCCAAAGCTGGTGTTAGCAGTTTCCCAGCAATAACAACCCTGTTCTTGCCCATATCCAGCTCAGAATTTCTTCAGGCTAAACCAGCAGCTGAGCCTGGACAGCCTGGTTTGAGATCCAATCACTCTGGGGTTGCCCGGGGAGATCAGAATTCCCATCATTCCATTGTGGAGCTCTGAGGGGCCCGACCTTCTGCCCGTTCAGAAAATTAAGCAGTAGTACACTATGGGAGAGGCAGCATCCATTCTGAATGGTCCCTGTTAAAGAGACACTGTTGGTATGAATATTCCCCACGAGCATGTCTTGCCTGACAGTGTTATAGCTAAGACCTAAGATGACCAGCTATGTGGTGGATTAGATAGAAAAGGTTATTTTTCTTTTTGCCAAAGTTTGTCCTCACATGCATCTGGGGCACTTTGGGTATAGTATGTATAATACTACATTAGTCTTATGACATCATCTTTCCTAATCCACTCCTACTGGCTACTACCAGCTCGGTGGGGCAGAGCTGAAGCTGAATTGTGGAATTTAATTCTGTATTTCCTGGTTTCCAGAGATTTAAGTTTAGCTACTCGTCATACTAGAGGGGCAGAGATTAGAGCTAGGTAACCAGATACTATGCTAGCAGTTCTTTCAGCAGCACCAGTTTCCTCTGCTGCTTGTGTTGATCTTTCCCATGGGGAGAGGGAAGGGGAAAAAAAAAAGAAAAAATGCAGATGTCAAACCACAGAAATCTGGCAGGGTGTGACTCAGGCAGAGGAAGCAACTCCAGACACAGATCCAGCCTCTGACCACCACATGACATCTTTTAAAGGCTACAAAAAAACCCTAAATTTGCTCTGGGTTCAACCCATGTGGACCCAACCTCATTGACTTCTCACATGAGCGGAGGGAGATGAGCAAATTAGTGCAATAGCGATCGTATTGCCGTCATTTCATTTTCGAAGACTTTAGGCAAGTCACTTAGGGGCTAGATTTCCAAAGGTTCAACACCTGCATTTAAGGCCAGATTTTCCAGAAAGCTAATTTTCCAATTTCACACCCAGATAAGGGGGAAAAAAATTCCCCAAAGTATCCAGCATGCCACATATCTGTGCTCTTGACATTTCCAGTCTTCACTCCTCTCTGTATTGTCTTGCCCTGTTTTCAAAGTCCTTCCTTTACTCCTGTTTTTTCTATTGAGACAGTCAGTTTTCTGAGACAGGGACAGCCCTTCACTGCTCAGGGTATGAACACAGTGGCTCCCAATCAATGTATCCAGGAGCTACCTATATTGCTTGGGCTGCTTTGTGATTAGATCCAAAGGCTAGAAGGGCTATTTTTAAGATACTTATTTTTCTGTCTTTGCTTTACATAAAAATCTGCCTGTGTCTTCCCAGTGTTTCTACAGATACCTGCAGGTGCAAGAGAACTTTGACATCATGAAAGACATGAGGGTAAAACAGAATAATCGGGGAAGAGAGGAGGTACACAGTCACAAGATGCTCTGATCTTTAACATCTAACACAAATAAACATGGATTATCAGCTGTTTGGTCAGGCCCTGACCTTTTGTACTGCACTTGTACAGTACCTAGCACATGGGCAGGAGGGCGTGGGGAGGAGGAGGAGAGGGAACAGGAGAGGAATCTGTGCTTCCTGAGCTGATTGCAGTAAAATAATAAACAATAACAACAGTAGGTGTAGGGGGCATGTAGGAACTAAACCAAAAATGCCAGCAAAAAGGAAAATTATTTTCAAAGAACTAATTTTTGTGGGCTTTTTTTTTTTTACAAAAAATATTCTGTGTGTTTAACATCAGAGATGTTTTTTGCTTTACTCAATTTTTGATAAAAGGAAAGTGTTGACGCCAATTTCAATTAAAACGTCATGGTTTGAATAATGAAAGGAAATTAAAACAATTTAAATACTGTTCATGAAAGTAGTGGTTTAAATGTATTTCTCCCAGCTCTACACTAAATGTTATTCATCACACAATATTGAAGATGGCGTTATGGTATTTGACATTGTTTTAGCCAGCTGTTCTAGAGGCACTGGAGACAAATTAATTTTAATGTTAAGAAAAAGGCTTTTGCTTTTAACTTGACACCTGAATTTCCCAGGTTTTTACAGAGGTTATTAAAAAAAATTACCCAACCTGTTTTGAACATGTTATTGGAAATGGTTTGATCTCTGCTCACAATCACAGTTGACTATGAATGTGATTTTTGCCTGGGAAGAGAGTGCATTTAGCAGCGGCAGCAGTGGCGCTGGGTGATATTTACTGTAGACACAAAAGATGTCAGGGGTTCAGAGGCTTGAAAATGTTCTTAGCCAGGGGCCAGCAGTAATTGCTCCTGGGGCAGTGCCTTCAGCTCCTACAGGACTGCATGTGTTACTTTAAAAGATAAGGTAATCTCCAGCTTTTAAAGAATTCACAGGTGACTTGTTTTGGATGCACTGATGTTTGTCCAAGTCTGCTGAGAAACAGTGGCAGTGCTGCCTTCAGTGGGTGGGGTGAGATGGGGGCAGACTGAAGGATTGGGCTACCACTGTTAAGGAATAGGATGCTTTGACTGGGGAAACTACAATTCCCATCTCTTGTACAAGGGACTCTGTGGCAGGGGAAGCATCCCTCCAGACAAAAGGGTCTGTATGTGCTGGGGGACCCTGGTAACGCTGCCCCACAATCCAGCACAGGGGTCCTGGCAGTTCAGCAGAGGATGCTGGGAAGGCAGCCACTGCTACTACCACCACTAGGGATCTCCTTTACTAGGGTGGCAAACAGAATGACTCCCCAAGGCTAATTCTTCAGTGGGTATTGGTTTCTCTTCCCCGTGGATCCCTCTGCTAGGGTGCCAGGCAGGGGCCCCAGCCACCCACAGTCTCCAGGCATTATAATCAGGACCACCCTTGCTCTTTAGCCCGCTCCTTGCCATGAAATGGTTTGACATCTGCTCCAGCCCCATGATGCCCCAGGAAAGGATGCATAAGGCTGCCACAACCTAATTGACTGATGGGATGCCAGACACTGATTTTTTTGAGGGGGGCTCACTGTACAGGGGGCTGGCCCAGCCTGACTGGATCCCTTGTGCATGAGGTAGAAGGTAGCAGTACTGAACTGGAGCTCTGAGTTTGATCCCTGGGACCCAGAACAGGGTAGTAAACCCCACTTGCTGGGGGGCTCTGGGCTGGAGACCCTAGTGTATTCCAGTCTGGTGCCTCTGTGGCTCACTCTCTGGGCCAGCCGGGGCCAGATCCAGATTTCAAGTCCTGTCACTGTGTGTGTGAGATCCACTGGTCAGCATAAGTAGAGCCCTCCTCAGTGCCTGCTCTGCAGAGGGTACGAGTCAGTCACAGCCCCAGCTTTAGCTTGGGAGGTCCCCAGTGTGTCAGCCAAGAGGGTGGCCAACTAGTGGTCCGGGCAGCTAGCACCCATAGGCACCCACAGCAGCAAGATGCTCCATCAAGGCTCCCTCTCTCAGCCAGCTGCATCCAGGCAGGAAGCTGGGGATCACAAAACCTCAGTCCTCCCCAGCTATCAGCCCACCCCCAATGAGAGAACCCCCAACCCCAAGCAGTAGGCCCCTTAAACACTGCTCACTCCCTGCTATCATCTCCCTCATCATGCCTGTCCTGGCCTCTTCCCCCTGGGGAGGGAGCAGATGGTGGAGAGAGACCATGACGTCCCTCCCTTCCCCCATTGCTCTCTGCTCCCGAGTCCAGGGTGGGAGTGTGTGCATGTGGGTAGGAGGAAACAGGTGGGTTTCTTTACAAGCCTGGTATTGTCTCCCCCAGCATGTGACCTCTGCACCCTGCCCTTTCCCACTCCATTGGCTTCCTAATTGCTTTGCCCTCTCATCCGTTTCCCCTCCTCAGCCTGACAACCTGAGTGTAGCTCCCCAGTACCCTCAGTTCTGCTTCCCACTTTCCCTCCTGATGATCTAGGACCCTCCCCCACTTCTAGTGCCCCCCTCTTCCTGCAAAGCCCTAGGATCCTTCTTGCTCCTGAGGTATGCTCTTCCCAGTGTGCTACTGAAAAGCCCTGATTCTCTAAACCATCATGATCCTGTGGCTGCTGGCCCCAAGCTGCTCCCCCTCCCCGAAATGGCTCATTCTGGATCACCGCAACAATGTCCCTCAGTGTCCCCCAGTGCCAGGGACCCCAAGAGCTGCCTTGAGTGTGTGACATGGGTGGGAAGAAATAGACCCTCAGGCATCTGGGGTAGGGGAATCCACTGACACTTCATCCCAGCATCGACCGGGTCCAATGACCTTGCACAGCCTCAGCAGGGAAAGTGATACGCAGGGACCTCGCTGCAGGGTTGAATGCACAGTGGAGAGGAGATGCCCCTTTTTTGTCTCCTTGGAAATGTGGGGGACGGGGTCCTCCATGAGGGGGACATGCAGGGCTGGGGGAAGCCTGGCCAAGCTAAGGGGCAGTTGCTATAAGGGAGATGCATTTACAGAGGCTTGCCCTGGGGGCAGATCCTGTCCAGGCCACCAGACAGGACTGGAACCCACTGAAAATATGAGAACTCTGACACCCTGTGGGGAGTCACTGGCTTCCTTGTAAGAGGATGGGGTGGGTGTCTGCTGCTACCAGGGCTTGGCCATGCTTCTGGCAGGGGGCACATGGAGGCGGCTCACAAATGGGTGAGAACCAGGTTGTGAGAGATGGGGGAACTCCTGAGGCCTATAGATACAGGCAGGGGGGGTCCTCTTGGCTTTAGACTGGACCACAGGGAACCTGGGGTGGAGGTGTCAACTTGGCTCCTACAGATATCAGAAGAGAGAACACAGGTCCTGCAAAATCCAACTGGGTCCAGAGTGGGAGCAGGGGGTGATGCTGGGAAATCCCTGCGGGGTCTGCACTGGTTTCCACGCCCTGGTGGATAGTTCATGGAACCTGCAGGCTCTGAAGAGGTTCAGAGCTGGTTCAGAGGAACGGGGGTTGGGGATGGGGAAGAAAGGAGGGTCCTACAGAGCCTGATGGCTTCAGAACCAGACCAGTGGGACGAGGGTCACTAGTCCGTGTTCATTCCCCTGCTGCCTGGCAGGGAGATCCAGGGTCTGTCCGGGTCCGATCAGATTCAAAGCTGAATGGGAGGGACAAGGGGATCCTAGCCGGCTCCCGGAGAGGTGGAGGCATGCAGGTCCAACTGGATGCAGAACCAGATCCTATGGCAAGGGGGTCCCTGTTGCTTCCCCTGCCATGGGGGGGAAACACACACGTCCTCTGGGGTCCAGCTGGGTTCAGAGTCACCTCAGAGGGGCAGGGGATCCTGACGGTTCCCTGGCGAGGGTGGTGGGCACCGTGGGGTCCACTCAGACTGAAAGCCATATGGCAGGGGGTGCTGCTGCCCCTTCAGTGCGTGCATGGGGGTCCCAGCAGGGTCGCACGTCAGATGGGCAGCACTTCCCTGCTGCTTCCCACTGCAGCTAGGTAGGCAAGTGGGTGCAGATCTGGCTGATGGGGGTAGACAAAGCCCCGGAGGCCACCAGCTCCCCCTGGGGCCAGGGCAGTGGGCGGCAGCAAGCCCAGGGATGCCAACCCCTTGTCTTAGCCTTTCCACCCCCACCTCCACCCCCCGACCGGTACTCACCCCTCGCTGTCTCCAGGGCCACTGCCGCCAGCAGGACGAGCCAGAGGCAAGGGGCACTGCCCTGGGAGCCCATCCCTGTGCCCCCGGCGCTGGGGCTGCTGGCCCGGCGCTCAGATGCTGCTGCCTGGCAGCATAGCGCCGGCCCCTCTGCTACTGGCTGCGGGCTGCTGGTGCCAGACAATAGAGGCTGGGGAGGGAGGGAACAGGGAGCACATGGGCTGCTCGCCTGCCTGTCAGCCCGCGCCGGGTCCTAAACTCCCCTGGCTCGGGAGGGCTGGGGCTGGTGGGGATCCGAGCTGGCAGTACCGAGCACCTCCAGGGCAGTCACACAAGCGTAGAAAATGAGGGCTGAAGGGATCTCAGAAGGTCCTCTCGTCCAACCCCCTGCTCAAAGCAAGGACCATCCCCAACTAGATCATCCCAGCCAAGGCTCCCAGGTCTTAAAAACCTCCAAGGATGGAGCTTCCACTACCTCTCTTTGGTGACCTGTTCCAGTGTTTTCCTACCCTCCTAGTGGGAAAGTTCTTCCTAATATCTAACCTAAACTTCCCTTGCTGCAACTTGAGACCATTGCTCCTTGTTCTGTCAGAACAGTCTGGCTCCATCCTCTTTCCAATCCCCCCTTCAGGTAGGTGAAGGCTGCTATTAGCCTTCTCTTCTCCAGGCTAAATAAGTCCAGTTTCTTTACCCGCTCCTCATAGGTCATCCCCCACTCTCCATTTTCGTTGCCCTCCGCTGGACTCTCTCCAATTTGTCCACATCCTTCTGTAATGGGGGGCCCAAAACTGGACACAGTACTCCAGATGTGACCTCACTAGTGCAGAAGGGAGAGGAATAATCACTTACCTTGACCTGCTGGTAACTCTCCTACCAATGAAACCACACTGGTGACTGCTGAACAGGACTGGCCATACTTGCAGGACTGGGCAGGGCATGGGACCAGAGACTGGGGGGTGGAAATCAGCCAGGGACAGAGAGAAAGAGCTGCCCTCCCAACAGACCTGGGCACTAAAGCACTGGAACAGGTTATCCAGAGAGGTGGGGGACTTTCCATCCTTAGAGGTTTTTAAGACCCAGCCAGACAAAGCCTAGGCTGAGATGATCTAGTTGGGGATGGTCCTGCTTTGAGCAGGGGGTTGGACTAGGTGACCTCTTGAGATCCCTTCCAATCCTCATTTTTTATGATTCTATGACTGGGACTAATAGAGGTGCAGTCCAGCTGCTGGCAAACGCTGGGCTGAAATCGAATTAGCCACCCTTGCAATGATTTCATTCAGATTAATTTGCAAATCCTCAATGTGCAACACAGAGCTCAGTCTGTATTTGATGTGGTCCAAAATTCCTAAGGGTGAATCCAGTGGGTCGCCTATGTTAAACCATGGAGACCCAGCATGCAAACCTGCTGGGGTAGCATCTAGGCTGTGGACACCAACGGCTGGGTGAGCCTGATCAGGATCCTAGCTGAAAAGGGATGGAAGAAGCAAGGGGGTGAAAGCACCAGGACCAGGAGGGTGGGGGAAGAGAGGAAGACAGGGGGGAGAGAAACAGCAGAATGCCACAGGTGGACAGACAGACAGATAAGGGGACAGAGCACCCCGCTTCCCTCCGTTCCGTAACCCACACCGGCTCCAGCTCTACTCCCCTTCCACCCCATCTCAGCTGCTTGAAAATAACCAGGCAGACAGACATATTGCTCCCTGCTCTACACGTTACATATATGATGGCAAGTGACTAGTGAGCATGCAATAAATTTAGCCTGGCCACACCTGCAAAGTAATCTTCACACCATAAAAAAATGACTGTGCCTTCATGAAATGAGCCAGTCAGCTATGAAGTTAGTGCTTGAAAATGTGTACCAACTCTACAGCTGGTTTCTTGCCAGCTCTCATTTGAATGTGTAGCAGGGCCCCTTGGAGGGACAGATCACCTGCCCCCCACCTCCACCCCGCTTACCAAGACTGGACCACTGCACACAAGCAGCCAGCCAGGTAGACAGGGTGTGTGGATTCCTAAGCATGCATGAACCTGCTGCCCAGGGAGGGCTGGGGGGGTCCCCCAGCCCAGCTGCAGCCTGTCAGTACCAGCCCCCAGGCACCCTGGCAAGGCTGTATGCTCCTGCCCCGACTTGTCTTACCCTCCCTCCATCCCAGGCTAGGGGAAATCACAGGTGCTGGCTGGGCGGTGCAGCAGGGCAGAGCTGGAAGGTTGGCCTTGCCCCTGGCTGCTTGCAACCCAGGCAGCAAAGGGTTAAATAAACCAGCAAAGCAACAGATTGCAGCCCACAGCAAAGCTCCTCCCTCCCTCCCCCAGGGCTGGAGGAGAGGTGGAGAGGAGCAAAGGAGGGAGTTGGTAGGAAAAAGGGAGAGGGGACTCCAAGCACATGGGGGCTGTGAGATGTTACCCCCTCCCCCACCTACAACCAAACCAGCCAGAAAGCCCCTGATCCTGGGCAGGGGTGCAGGGTCGTTTGTTCAGTGCCTGGCACAGCCAGACCTAGGCTGTGACCTTGGTGCAGTGGGAACAATTAGAGGTGACCCCTATGGAACAAGGAGCTGGGGCCTCTCTAAACAACTGTTCTGCTGCTACTGGCTCTGGGGACTGCCAGCATGGGTCTGTGTCACTCCCCCAGCACTCAGGCCAAGCATATGGGGAGATGGGGGGTAGACTAGCTGCCTCCTGGCAGAATCAGGGGGTTAGAAGGGCCCAAAGGAGTAGCCAGCATGACTCAGCCCTGTCACTCAGGGCCTGCCCCACTGTGCTAGGAAATGCCCTTCTTACAGGGCAGGGCAGGGGGTGCCAGAATGACCCCCTCCCCCATCCCTTCATCCCTGATCCCATTTCACACCCCAGACATGGCCTGTGGGGCTGGGGGACCCAGCTGGCACAGTACAGGCACAGGCAGCTTTGGAGAAGTTAATCTTTGTCAAAGAGCCCGGGGCTCTGTGCCTGAAACCCCCTGAGGTGACCCTGCCTGAGCGCAGAAATCTTCCTGACAGCTGGGCACAGGGAAGTGCTTAGCTGTCCCAGCCGCCCATGCTGGTGGCCTTGGCACAGCCCTCCCAGGGGGCCCCCAGTGGCTGCTTGCTGCCAGCTGGCACTGCACCTCAGCTAGACATCACTACTCCCTCCACTTATCCTGCCCCATTCCCCATGGCTCCCAGTGCTGGGAAAGGCTGGAGCAGTCTGGGGCTGGAGTAGCCAGGAGCTCCTTTCCATAGCCAGCACTCCTGCCATGCTCCCCACTGCACCCCTGCTGATACAGGCTGGAGCCAAAGACCCTTCCATCCTGTGCTTGACAGTCATTCCCTGAGGCATTTTCTCCTGGGACCCAAGAACTGAAACCAAGTATCACCAGAGCCAGGCACGCTGTGATTAAAATAGACTTTATTTGGAAACAGGCAATAATTGGTTGGTTAAAAATTCTAATTTAAAAAAGATGGTGTGGCAACTCCCCGCAAGCCCAAGAGCCCCTACTCCCCAGCCTCTGGCCAGTCTCACTGAGGGAGCATGGAGAAGGAGCAGGCCCCTCCTGTCAGTCCCCCTACCCCAGTAGGCTATTGTCCTGTACTTCTTGTCTCTGCTGAGCTGCATCCATCTACTCTAGGCTATAGGACAGAGGAAGATAAAAGTCCCCTACAACATGGCATGTGTGCCAGCCACACTGCTCTTTTCCCTCCTTGCTCATCAGATCCAGGGTTTAAACTGCACCTCCTTGCTTTGCAGAGTATCTTTGGCTTGGCCGATAGTTGGAGGGAAGGCCTTAAAAATGGTATGCAAACACCTCCACATTCACACAGGTCTGTATTTCACACCTGAGACACCAGTCTTGGACAAACAACATAGAAAGGCACTGTTGGCTCAAATTAAGATACTGGGGAAGGAGGATGACTCTATCCTGTCCCTTGACACATCCTCTTTGAACAGAGATTTCCCGCCCCACTCCCGGTTAATACTGTGCCCCTGCCCTTCATGTCCAGCCCCAGGAAGAGCCCTGAGCAGCCCCTGATGCCAGTAGAAGCTACTGGGAAAGTAAAGGGTAGAGAACTGCAGTGAACTGAGCCCTAAGGACTCTGCCACCTTAATGAGGCTGAGGGTCTGGCATGACATGGGGGCAGGAGCCATGATGATGACAGGGAGAAGGGGCAGAGGGAGAGAAGAGGGGTTGGGAAAAACTCAGATGATGCTGGGAAAGGGGATGAGGAAGGCATCAGGGAAATAGGAAGTTCAGCATTTTAGTGACTGGAACTGCCCGCCCCCCCCACAAAGGACCTGCCCCCATGAACCCTAAAATTTTAGCCCCAGAGCAGTGATGCTACAGGAAATGGTTGTGGGATTGTCCAGCCCCTGTTCTTTCAGGAAGAGGGAAGGCCAGGGAGCTATATCCTCTCCCAGGGGCTCATTTCCCTTCTAGTGAGTTTCCACTGGGCTCTGGTCTTCCTTAGAGGAGGGAGGCAGCTGCAAGTGCCAGGGGCAATGAGGAGAAAGGCTTGAGAGATTCTAGGAGGGAATGGGTGGGGTGAAATGGGTGTACACAAAGAGAAGGGGCTCGGGAGAATGAATGCATTGGGCAGGTGGGGCCTGGGAGCCTACACACAAGGGAGAGACTCTGGAAGTCTATGGGGTGGCTGGGGTTGGCAGTGTGTACAAAGGGGAGGGGAAGAGCAGGGGCAGCATGAAGGCAGTGGTGCTACTTGAGTCAGTTTTTGGTATAGCATGATGGGAAAAGGCCGTCCCTCCCAGCCCCTCAATCCTCCTGCTCCCGGTCCCTGGGGGACACCCGCCTCTGGTGGTGCCGCAGCTCATCCACCTGCTGCTCCAGGCTGCGCACCTTGGCTTCTAACTGTGTCCCAGAATGCTGAGTCCTAGTCAGGTGCCCCAGCAGGGCATAGACAGTAAGCAGGGCCAGCAGCAGCAGGGCCTGCAAGGAGGGGTTGGGCACAGAGGAAATGATGAAGATGAAGCAGACCAGGAAGAAGGCCACCTTCACTCCTGTCATGATGTGGCCCAGGATGTTCAGCACCAGGCCCAGCACCAGCGACAGTAGCCAATAGCCAAACAGCGCAGCCAGGCCCCACAGCAGCAGAGTCTGCACATGGGCAGGGTCTAGCTTCAAGGTCTGCATCACATGGTCCCCTGGAGGGAGAAGGAAAGGGGTTAGAGATGTGTGGGTGTCCCAGCACCGGGCTGGCACTTTTGGGATGGGGCATCCCCACATCAGGGCTGTCCAAATGGTGGCCTACAAGGGTTTAGCACAGGGGCAAGTAATTATTTCGGGCGGAGGGACGCTTACTGAGTTTTGACAAGCCATCGAGGGCTGCATGGCAGGCAGCCAGGGGCAGATAAATATGAATTTTCTAAATTTTTTAGGGGCCCCGCAGGCCGGATACAATAGCCTGGCAGGCCACATCCGGCCCATGGGCTGCATTTTGCCCACCCCTGGTTTAGCATGTGGCCCACACGCTCCTGCCTAGCCGCTACTCCAGTCCCTGCTCTGGCAACAGTGGCAGGGATCTATAGACTCTCCATCCCTCCTCCGACTTCTGGTTCCTGCCCCCCGACCCTCCCTCCCACACCTGCTCTTGGGGGCTGTGCAGCACAGCAAGGGCCAGGCTGTGTGCTTGGGGAAAAAAAAGAAGCCAGGCTGCCCACACTGTGTGCTACCCCCACATCATGTGTGGCTGGGAGAGGGGTTTGCACATGTGATGGGGGGAAGGGGAGGGAAGTGGGTTCAGCTGTGTGGCAGGTAGCTCCTGCAGCACCAGGGTCCGGGGCCTGTGCTGCATGTGGTCCCTGGCTACCCAGAAGCTGGATGACTGCCCTATTTGTTGCCCAAGTGATGTTGGGGCAGGCTGCTCCTGAAGAGAGGGGCATAATGGGAGTTGAAAGGGGAGTGGTGCGGCTGGCAAGAGAGCTCTCTCCAGTGCTGGGAAGAGAAACCCTTGGAGAGAATTGCTCCTTACCAGATGGGAGCCCCTTTTCTTTATTTAGGGATAAGGATCAGGGTTAGCCCATCAAGTGCTGGAAGGAAAGTGAAATTGCTCTCCCCAGATGAGATGGGCTGTCAAGCCTGAGTTGACCCCTCCTATGCCACAGGCCTTGAAAGGGGAAGCTCAGACACCCTTGTCTGTTGTGAGGGATGGGACTGAGGCCTTCACATACTCCAGTGAAAGGCTGGTTTTCAAAGAAACACACCTCTGCCCCAGAGACAGGGATGCGGAACAGCCTTCCCAACCTTCCACAGATGGGGCTGTGGAAGGGGGCTTCAGGGGAGTGGGCACTTAACCAGAAAACCAGAGATCTGCTTCCTGCTCTTAATTCTGCCTCTGCTGTGAGCAAGCTGATGTTTCAATTTCCCCTCCCTCCCTTTGCCTGGGCTTTTATGCAGTACCCAGCACAATGGCGCCCTGCCCTCAGGTGGGGTCTCTAGGCATTAATATCATCACACAGATAGAAAGCAACTTACCATTCATGCCACAAGCACTAAGGATCTGTCCCATGATCTCAGATAGCATGATCAGCCCTGCGGAGATGCCATTGGAGACAATCCAGAACATGGCAGAGATGGTCTGCAGGGAAGAGAGAAATTTCAGTCCCTGCCATGTGTTCAAAGACACCAGTGGGGAGAAGGGAGACAAGACCACTCACGTATGAGGTTTCAGAGGCCATGAGGGAGCTCTGATAGGAACCAATGCCTGGCTGGGTGCAAATAGCCCTCGCTGGTTGTAGGTGCAGCAGGAACCCACTAGACATAACTTACAGCAACCCCAAAGATGCTTTAACTCCCCCCCCCAGGGGCTGAGATGGCTTTGTACTAGGAAAAGTACAATAGTGGCCTCAAGTCTCCCCATCCCTACCTTTTGGATTTGGTGCCCAGCTCAGCTGCAATTCAGCTCAGATGGATAAGCTGTGTAACCAGTCCACCTAACAGACGGCAGAAACACCCCAACCAGAAACCAATGCTGCCAGCTTCACAGCCAGCTGGTTGGTGCCTCTTTCAACACAGTGTATGCAGACCAAGCCATGGTGTATCTATCAATGAAACCAATATAAGTTGTCACATCTGCATGCTCCAGCAGGGAGACCACTGTAGCAAAGCCATTGTAACCCTAACCCTGCATCCCACAGGATTCAAGTTACAACAATTTAGCTCCCTACAGAATCATGCAGACACAACAGTTATGCTGTCACAGCGACATAAGCTGCAGAGCGGAACAACTCCTCCCCTTTTAAAACGGTTGACAGTTAAATCTGTCCACAGCCTGAGAAGTGGGTAGCTTCCTCAAGAGGTAAATCTGTGCTGAAAGCTTGCTCCCATGGGGCCAGAGTACTGTTCAGCCATCCAGCTGGCTCCATCGTCAAGGAGCTCTGCCTGAAATAAGCAACTGATGCTTCTATCTTCTAGCCTGTCACAACAATATCTGAATGTCTATTATTCTTAATTTTACCTAGGGAAAATGGAGGCAGTTTCAAACCAGACTCCTTTGAGAACTAAGTGACCTGCCAGAAGTCAAGCAGGAAGCTGGCAGCAGATCAAGGCTTTACCCTGGGTCTCCCAAATCTTAGGCTCGGTGCCTAACCCACCAGACTACCTAGCCTCTCTACTCCTGACTTGTGCCCTTCACGGCCCCTATTAAATGAAGCCTTATGCCCCTGCTGGAGGGTGGGGGTGGGTGTGTAACTGTTACTTGCCCAGGAGATAAGCTAGCTAAGAAGCTGCAGGAGCTCATTACAGACAGAACTACAACTGGAACCCAGAGGTCTAACAACAGCGCCACATCTCAGTCACTTGGGCACATGCTGCCTTTTTTCAGAGCAGATACCTGGAGCTAAAGTGACTCAAACCTCCCTCGGTAGCTGGAGGCTTAGGGAAGCAAGGACTGGCCAGCACAAGCTGCATAAGAAATTTCAGATCAATAACTTTGCTCAATGTTAACCTTGATATATGTAGCACCCAGCTTTTATCTGGTGCTTTTAAGCCATAGCCTCAACATGCTCCACAAGGGAAGTTGGCATTATCCCCATCTTACAGATGGGGAAACTGAGGTAGGGGAAGGCAAACTGACCTGCCCAAGGTCACCCAGCAGGCCAATGACAAAACTGGAAACCATGTCTCCAGAGTCACAGTCCAAAGCTCAAACTGGACTCCCTCACTGGAGCTCTTTGAACAACTCTGGCAAAGCTTAATAGCCATTTCTCTAACACCTGCAGAGGGGGGCAAACTTTGTGCACAGAGACCTTCGCCTCCACACTCTTCCAGCCCCTTCGGAATTCCAGCCTTACCTCAGCCACCATCTGAACAGCCTCTTGCCCAATCATCTCCTCCAGGGTCTCCTTCATGGCCTGACCCAAATGGGACAAGAAGTCAGTGTGGACGGGTGCTTCTTTCCAAAGCTTGCCAGGCCGGTTCTGAGCGCTGGCCACATGCAGGAAAGCGGCTGACATCAGGATAGCAACAGCTGGTCGGAGTAGAAGCTGGCGGCAGCTCCAGGACCTGCAATCTCCTCCCGCCATCTCTCCAGCTCTTCTCTCTACACCAAGAAGCCCTGCTGAAGGAAATGAGAGGAGAGATGAGTGAAGTCACAGACAGTAACAAAGCTGTAGAAACCCAGGATCCTCCCGTCCTGGGGTTAGAGCTATCTTGCCCATGGGGAGGACCACCCTGGACTGCCAAGAGGGCAAATGCACTTCCCGCAGTACCAGCATGCTCCCTTGTCAACTGAGGATCCTCCACGGGCCACTCTCTCATTACTGGCGCTTGGGCCTGTCTCCGCTCCCAACCTTTTGTGTTTCCCAACGACCGACGACCGGAGGCAGCTCCTTGCGCTGTTCCCCAGCAGCGGGCTGCTCAGGCTGACTGAACCTGGGGCTAAGAGCAGGCAGCCACACCCACGCCACCGGCCCTTCGTTTGAGAAGAATCCCAGGAGCCGGGGGCCAAAGGTCAAGCCTGCCTCACTCCCACTTTGGGCAGTGACCTCAGTGTGGGGCCTGCAGAGATGGAAAGGACAGCTGGGCCCCCCGCAGCAGGTGGGGGGGTGACACACAATCCCTCTCCCACACGCCCTGCTCAGGCCTGCCCCTGGCGCAGCCCCAGAAGCCGACACTGGGGGGGGGCGGGGGGGGGAGAGGTGCGTGGGGGCGAGT